GAGGAGGCCGAAATACAACAACGTGCGCGTGTTTCACCGTTGTCCATCTGTTCTTACTACCTTTTTAGTATTTATCGGCGAGGGTGTAAAAACCACCGCACCGGGCGAGGCTCGAACTCACAACCCCGGCATCTAACCCCAGCCATTGTCCTCGCGTCGCGTACACACCCCGAATTGAGCGGGTCCGAGTGACCCGCGATCCCATTTCACACAGCCCTCAAGAGTTTTGCAAAAAGAGGAGGCCGAAATACAACAACGTGCGCGTGTTTCACCGTTGTCCATCTATTCTTACTACCTTTATTAGTATTTATCGGCGAGGGTGTAAAAACCACCGCACCGGGCGAGGCTCGAACTCACAACCCCGGCATCTAACCCCAGCCATTGTCCTCGCGTCGTACACACCCCGAATTGAGCGGGTCCGAGTGACCCGCGATCCCATTTCACACAGCCCTCAAGAGTTTTGCAAAAAGAGGAGGCCGAAATACAACAACGTGGGCATGTTTCACCGTTGTCCATCTATTATTACTACCTTTATTAGTATTTATCGGCGAGGGTGTAAAAAACCACCGCACCGGGCGAGGCTCGAACTCACAACCCCGGCATCTAACCCCAGCCATTGTCCTCGCGTCGCGTACACACCCCGGATTGAGCGGGTCCGAGTGACCCGCGATCCCATTTCACACAGCCCTGGGAGTTTTGCAAAAAAGAGGAGCCCAAAATACAACAACGTGCATGCGTTCCACTGTAATCGATTTATTATTATTGTTATTAGTATTTATTTCATTATTAATTCCGTGTCCGTTTCGGGACATACGGTACATTTCAAGCAATGGCGACATAAGCGTTTCAGACACACACACACACACACACACACACACACAGCCAACAACAACAACAATGCACCCATCGTCTGTCAAATCGTCCCGCCTCGGACGAAGCCCCAGTTGGCGCACGCGGTACAGTAGGCTCGCGAGCAGTCTTTGCAGATGTACTTGTTACACCGGCCGCACACCGTGTGCGTCTTGCGGTCCTTCTTGGACGGGCACATCTGACACCTCTTCCTCTTGCTGGCCCGGTTGTCCGGCGCGGGCGCTTCCGGAGCGGGCGCTCTCGGCCCCAGGGCGTCCGGATCGAGCCCGTCATCGGGCGGCGTGCCGCATAGGGCCTCCTCGCGCGCGGCCCTCACGACCGCCGCGGACGCTTCCGTGCGTGGCAGGGTGACGCGCCTTTCGATGAGTGGCCTCACGAGCGCCTTGCCCAGGCGCTCCAGGAACACGCGCCTCTTGTTGCGCTTGCCGGGCATCCAGTCGGGGTGGACCTCGCGCCATATCACGAAGGCGTTGTACGAGGACACGTCGAGGATGTTGTGGAACACGGCCAGGGGCCAACGCGCGGTCATCCGTCGGCAGCTGTACGTGCCGATGACCTTGTCCAGGTTGTCCACGCCGCCCTTGTTGCGGTTGTAGTCGAGGATGAGCGCGGGCTTCCTGTCCGCGCGGTCGCTGAGCCGGGCGTCCGCGTGCAGCGTGCTCAGGAGCAGCACGTTCCTGTTTCGCCGGGCCAAGTAGGACACCAGCGTGGCGATGGGCGTGAAGGCGAACGCTGACGACAGGACCCGGCGGGTCTTGGTCGCGAGCAGCGCGGGCGGCAGCTCGGGCTTGTTCTTGCGCACCGTGCCAACCAGGGCGAGACCCCTGTCCGCGAGGAGCCGCTGCGCGAGTTCGTAGGACGTGAAGAAATTGTCACAGGTGACCGTGTGGTCCCGGGGCAGTCCCTCCGTCAGGTCGAACACGACCCGCGCGCCCAGGTTTCTCTCCGGGCCGTCGCGCGTCTTCCCCGTGTACACCTGCATCTTCCAGGCGTAGCTGGACCGCGCGTCGCAGCACACCCACGCCTTGATCCCGTACCTCGCCGGCTTGCTCGGCATGTACTGGCGAAACGGACAGCGACCTGGGGAAGAAGGAGCACAAGGTTGAGCGACACACAGACATACACACACTCACACACTCACACAAACAGACACACACGCACAAACACGCAGCCGCTACCTCTGAACGGGACCAGCTGCTCGTCCACCGTCACGTCGGGCCCGGGGTTGTAGAGGCTCGGCAGGCGCGCCGACCACTCGTCCCAGAGCTCTCGCACGGCGGCCAGTTTGTCGACTGCGCGCCTCGCGGGCCGCGTCTCGCGGTCGTCGAAGCGCAGCAGGCTCGAGTACGCGTAGAACACCTTGAGCGGCATGGTCGCGCGGAAAATCGGCCGTCCGCTCTCGGCGTCCCAGAGGCTCGCCGCGGCCTCGCCCCGGGACCTGTACACACCGGCCAGGATCAGCAGGCCCGTGTAGGCACGCAGGTCGACCGCGTCCATCCCGCGCCAGGCGTCTCCGTGTCGCCGAGAGCCCTCGCGGTTCGTGGCCTCCAGGACGATCGCCTCCACGCGCGGCGTGATGAACAGGCTGAACGCCGAGGCGATGTCGCACGCTCCCGCCGCCGCCTGCGCCGTCGGTCCCGCAACCGCTTCGTGACGTCCACCGGGCGGCGACCCTTGCCGCGCGCGACAGGGCACCGAGGACCACGCGATCTTGCCGTTCTTCGACAGGTAGATCTCGCCGTCGGCCCTCCTGTCCCCCGGGCGATCGTCGTCTGCCGCGGCGTTCCCAACGTCCGGGGCCTCTTCGTCGTCGACGGCGTCGTCGTCGTGCTCCGGGTCGTACTCCTCGCCGTCCTCCTCTTCCGACACGTCCTCCTCGGGCCCCTCGTCCTCGGAGGCCACCATCTGCTCCAGGGCCTGTGTGGCCGTGAAGCCCTGTCGCGTCATGTCTCCCTCGACAGAGGCCATGGTTTGTGCCTGTGTGACGCGAGACCCTGGCGGACGCCGCGCCGTTAGTAGACCTTGTGACGGACCCAATGACAGCTGGGAGGAGACCGTGTTTCTGACACACAAAGACATGGGGAAAGGCCAGGGACAGTGTGTTTCTGAGCCCAGAGGTCAGCGAGCAGGGTGGGAGGAGAACGTGTTTCTGACACCCAAAAAAAAGAGCTTATGTTTCCCGGGACACGAGTACATCTGGGAGGAGAACGTGTTTCTGACACCCAAAGACAGGGGGAAAGGCCAGGGACAGTGTGTTTCTGAGCCCAGAGGTCAGCGAGCAGGGCAAAAAAGAGCTTGTGTTTCCCGGGAGCCGAGTACAGCTGGGAGGAGAACGTGTTTCTGACACCCAAAGACAGGGGGAAAGGCCAGGGACAGTGTGTTTCTGAGCCCAGAGGTCAGCGAGCAGGGTAAAAAAAGAGCTTATGTTTCCCGGGACACGAGTACATCTGGGAGGAGAACGTGTTTCTGACACCCAAAGACAGGGGGAAAGGCAAAGGACAGTGTGTTTCTGAGCCCAGAGGGCAGCGAGCACGGCAAAAAAGAGTTTGTGTTTCCCGGGAGCCGAGTACAGCTGGGAGGAGAACGTGTTTCTGACACCCAAAGACAGGGGAAAGGCCAGGGACAGTGTGTTTCTGAGCCCAGAGGTCAGCGAGCAGGGTAAAAAAGAGCTTATGTTTCCCGGGAGACGAGTACATCTGGGAGGAGAACGTGTTTCTGACACCCAAAGACAGCGGCGATAGCAAAGGACAGTGTGTTTCTGAGCCCAGAGGGCAGCGAGCACGGCAAAAAGAGTTTGTGTTTCCCGGGAGCCGAGTACAGCTGGGAGGAGAACGTGTTTCTGACACCCAAAGACAGGGGAAAGGCCAGGGACAGTGTGTTTCTGAGCCCAGAGGTCAGCGAGCAGGGTAAAAAAAGAGCTTATGTTTCCCGGGCACGAGTACATCTGGGAGGAGAACGTGTTTCTGACACCCAAAGACAGCGGCCCAAAGGACAGTGTGTTTCTCGGAGCCCAGAGGAGGGCAGCACGGCAAAAAAGAGTTTGTGTTTCCCGGGAGCCAGTACAGCTGGGAGGAGAACGTGTTTCTGACACCCAAAGACAGGGGAAAGGCCAGGGACAGTGTGTTTCTGAGCCCAGAGGTCAGCGAGCAGGGTAAAAAAAGAGCTTATGTTTCCCGGGAGACGAGTACATCTGGGAGGAGAACGTGTTTCTGACACCAGAAGACAGGGGGAAAGGCAGAGGACAGTGTGTTTCTGAGCCCAGAGGGCAGCGAGCACGGCAAAAAAGAGTTTGTGTTTCCCGGGAGCCGAGTACAGCTGGGAGGAGAACGTGATTCTGACACCCAAAGACAGGGGAAAGGCCAGGGACAGTGTGTTTCTGAGCCCAGAGGTCAGCGAGCAGGGTAAAAAAGAGCTTATGTTTCCCGGGAGACGAGTACATCTGGGAGGAGAACGTGTTTCTGACACCAGAAGACAGGGGGAAAGGCAGAGGACAGTGTGTTTCTGAGCCCAGAGGTCAGCGAGCAGGGCAAAAAAGAGCTTGTGTTTCCTGGCATCCGAGTACAGCTGGGAGGAGAACGTGTTTCTGACACCCAAAGACTGTGGGAAAGGCCAGGGACAGTGTGTTTCTGAGACCAGAAAAGGACAGTGAGACCAACAAAGGACAGTGTGTTTCTGAGCCCAGAGGTCAGCGAGCAGGGTGAGCCCAGAGGTCAGGAGCAGGGTAAAAAAAGAGCTTATGTTTCCCGGGACACGAGTACATCTGGGAGGAGAACGTGTTTCTGACACCCAAAGACAGCGGCGATAGCGAAGGACAGTGTGTTTCTGAGACCAGAGGGCAGCGAGCACGGCAAAAAAGAGTTTGTGTTTCCCGGGAGCCGAGTACAGCTGGGAGGGGAACGTGATTCTGACACCCAAAGACAGGGGAAAGGCCAGGGACAGTGTGTTTCTGAGCCCAGAGGTCAGCGAGCAGGGTAAAAAAAGAGCTTGTGTTTCCCGGGACCCGAGTACAGCTGGGAGGAGAACGTGTTTCAGAGACCCGAAGACAGCGGGGGCCGCGTTAGGGTTACACAGGTTGACCCGAGGACGGCGGGAGTGAGGGGAATCCTACGCTCGGGTCGCCGGGACCCGAGGGTAGTGTGAGGGTTAAAGTTGGTAAAAGCGCCTGTCTAGTAAGCAGGATATCCTGAGTTCAAATCACAGCAGCGCCTTTATGAAAATGGCTTATTCAAGTATTTTGTCTCATGGTCTGGAAGATACATTTTTGCTTTCAAAACCCTAAACGATTGTTAGCACGTATCGCTGCTGTGGCTTAGTTGTTTAAAGCGACAGTGTTGTAAACAGGAGATCCTGAGCTCGAATCTCAGCAGTGCCTTTATGAAAATGGCTTATGCTTGTATTTTGTCTCATGGT